ATAAAATGCATGCACATTAAATTTTTTAAATTAATTTTTAACTAACATTGGGGTATCCCCACCAGGTATTACCACTGTAATACATTCACCACCAACTCGCCCATACTCTACTACCAGAGACCATTGTGCCTCCTCTCTCCCTGTTCTTTCCCCTCCCCCTTGGTGCTTCAGTTCTGTAGTCAGCTATCAAGGGTTAGTTTTTCAGCTTGTCTTTATCTGACTATTAATCTGGTTACTTCATATGTCATCTAGTATTTATCTTTCCCCTTATGACTTATTTTGCTTAGCATTATCTTTTCGAGCTCCATCCATGTTGCTGCTAATAGCATGAGTTTATCTTTTTTGATTGCTGAGGAGTATTTCATTGTATATATAGACCGCATCTTCTTGATGCACTCATCTGTTCTGGGGCACTTAGGTTGTTTCCATAGTTTATCTATAGTACATAGTGCTGCAATAAATATAGGAGTGCAAGTTTCCTTTTAAATTAGTGTTTTTGATTTTTTTGATAGAAACTAAAAGTGGAATTATTGGGTCATATTCATTGCCCAGTGAACAACAGCAACACAGATGGACTCAGGCATCAGCTTAAATAAGCTCCCATTGGCCAAAGATGAGATGATTTGAGCATCAAAATAATAAATACAAGTAAATTAAAAAACCCCAAACACATCAAATATGTTTCAATACTCAATTTGGAGAATTCCAGACAACTAATTCATTCTTCTGAAACAATGATGGAAAACTACTAAGTATTCTTTCTGTCCTGTCCCATCCTGTCTTTCCTGTACAAACTATCTAATGGCAAAATAAACACAACTTGCAACATTGATGAATTAACGGATCAATGCAATAACTATCAATGGTTGCAAATGTAGAAAAATGACAATCAGACATTATGTACCACTGCTGGAAGCATCCAATAACACCTATGAAGTACTGTTGCAAAAAAAAAAAAGAAAATTCAGGTCTCAGCCTGATTAACAGGAATTTGTTGAACAACTTCACCGGGTCACAATTCTCAAAATACAGATAGTGGGACACTTTACAGGATAAAACAATCTGGTTCTTCAACAACAACAACAACAACAATAACAACAACAAAATGCCAGGAACAAAAGAAACAAAAGGATGAAAGTGAATTAAAAAAAAAAAGACAAATTTTAAAAACTTATATATGTAATTTTTTCATGTTTGTTCCTTTCAGGTGTAATCCCTATAGAATTTCCAAGTCACCAGATAATCATCATCATAGTCTCTTGTGTTCTTCTCCTGTTGTGATCCCTCTCCTTCCCTCTCCCCTGCAGAATGTCTGTGATATATCTTTTGTCTGCTAGTGTTGTTTTTTTCCTGATCTCTTGTTTGGTTCCCTTATATTCCTCCCATAAGTAACACCATTCAATATTTTTCTTTCCTCCTAACTTACTTCACTGAGTATAATCCCTTCCAGCTCCATCCATGTTGCTGCAAATGGCATGAATTTATCTTTTTTGATCACTGAGTAGTATTCCATAGAAAGACACATTAATGAACGTTAATGTATAAACCTTTTTTTGAATCTGGATTCAAATAAACTTAAAATATTTTTAAACAATAAACTATTTTTATTAGATGATTAAGGAATTGTGAATGCTGGCTGAATAATTGATAATGTTAATGAATAATTAACAGCTTGGTGATGATAATGTATATAGTTGTGTTTAAAAGTTCTCATCCTTTTGAAATATATGGAAAATATTTATAAATGAACTGATAAGATGCCTGACGGTCACATCAACATAAACTTGGATGGAGGGGAAGGCTTTGGACCAAGTTATTGTCATACCTAAAGACTTTTACACACACATAGACACATGCATATATATATGAAAAAAGACTAACTATGTAATTGATAATTGTTAAATCTGGGTGATAAAAACAAAGGGGTTCTGACCTTTATATTTGGTTAATTTATTTTCAACAGGAATTTCAAAATAGAATAAAACACTACCTTTCGGGAGTTAGGAAAAAAGGGGTAGTGTGGGAACAACCAAAAGTTCAGTAATTTATTTGTAAAACAAGAAGGGAAAGTCTTATTTTTACTAAGTAGTAAGATTTACTATGAAGTCATAGGAGTTCATTATTTTAGTAAACTACTGAAGTGGGGATAGATAGGTACATCAGTGGAACAGACAAGAGGGCCTAGAAATAGTCTTACACATTTTTTAAAATTATTTATTTATTTATTTATTATATCATTGTTTTCCCCTCAGGCTTAGGCCCCATGCTTTTCCCACCACCACATAACCCATGAGCCATCACCACAGTTCCATGTGCTCTCCCTTCTCTCCTTGCCTCTTTTGGTCCACTCCCTCCCCTCCCTTGCTGTTTGCCTCAGGTCTATGGTCAACCTACAAGTCTTGTCTTTTTCCTGACCTTTTGTTTGGTTTTCCTATGCTCTGCCAATAAGCCACACTATGTCACACTATTTTGAAAGCTGGATTATTATACAGGTGACAGTGGGACAGATGGGCTAATCAGTAAATGGAGCGACTGGATTGCTATGTGGGCAAAACATGAAGTTAGAGTCTTCCCTCACACCTACACAAAAATAAATTTCTGGTTGATGTAAGACCTAAATGTGAAAAACAAATGTTAAAAACATATTGGAAAACAAACATAAAGTGAATATCTCTATTCCTGAACTAGGAAACACAAGACACAAAAAAGCAGAAATGATCAAAGAAAGCATCAATTATATCAAAATTTCAATTTTCTGTGTACAAATGACCTAATCAAACAAACTAAAAAGAGTAAATGACAGATTGGAGAAGCTATTGGCAGCATATCAGAATACATAAAAGACTGATATTAGAACACATAAGAGAAGTCCAACAAATTGAAAAGGAAAACAACTTAATAGAAAAGTGTAGAAAGGACGTAAACAATTCAGAGAAGGTGAACTCCAAACCAATATATTGTATATATATGAAAAGAGATTCAAAATTAGTAAACAGAGAAATACAAAATAGGGCCTCCCCCATGGTACAGCTGGTTGAGCTCATTGCTGTGAAACTGTCTACAGTCTCTGCAGCTTGGGTTTGATTCCCAGCCGACCGGGGAGATACCCATATGGCGTGGCAGACCTCTCCTGTCTCGCCCGTTGCTCCCTTCAGCGGTGTTTTCGGTCCGTCTGCCTGTTCTGCTCCCCACTCGGTCTCTGGTGAATTCTCTCACCCTCCCGCACCTCTGGCTTATACCCCAGTTCTTGTATAAATAAATAAATCTTAAAAAAAGAAATAGAAGATAAATGCGAGAAGAGACGCTATTTTGCACAACTCAGATTTTTAAAATACAGAAGCCTGACTGTGAGGACATTGAGAAATGGGTGGAAGTGCAGCTGCTGGAGAAAAAGACATTGCAATTCTGAGATGAAAAAGTAGGGTGTGGGCCTATCAAACTGAAAATGCAATCACCAGAAAACTCAGCAATCCTAATACCCGGCACATACTTCTGCTGTACACCTCAGAGAAGTTTTCACACATGAACATAAAAGACATAAAAATGTTCACTGCAACAAATAACCGAAATTACAAAAATGAGGTTTTGGTTCTCAAAAACAATGTAGAATTAAAAATGCACATTTAGAGTGTGCATGTATGTGTATACACATATATAATATCATCTGTGTAATATTGTAAAACATGTTAAAATATAGAAAACATTTTAGTATATGTAACATGCATGATTTAACAGATAATTTAACAGATAATTCTCAAAAACAATGTAGAATTAAAAATGCACATTTAGAGTGTGCATGTATGTGTATACACATATATAATATCATCTGTGTAATATTGTAAAACATGTTAAAATATAGAAAACATTGTAGTATATGTAACATGCATGATTTAACAGATAATTTAAAATGAATGTATCAAAAAATGATTGGGGGCAAGAAAATGGAGACAATGGTAGACGTCCCTTGAAGAAGTTTTACTGTGAAGACAGAGGCTGTAGATAGGTGGGGTTATAGTGTCTGAAGATGGGGACACACACACACACACACACAAACACACTCACACACACACTCACACACACACTAGATTTGTTTGCATACAGCTGGGAATGGTCCTGTAGAACAAAATAACGACTCATCAAGAGCCAAATCCTCCAGACTGCGGAGTTTGGCTGCAGAGCAACGTGGAGGCAGCTCCAAGGCTTGAGGAGAAGCTGGGCTTTGCCCTGCGGCAAAGTGGAGTGAAGGGACATGGGCTTCTTGGCTGTTTAGGAGGCAGAATCTTCAAGAAGTGCTGCAGAGCGGGTGCGTGGGTGACACTGCAAAGGGGGCTGGGTTAACAGACAAGTCCAGAGGGATTCCCTACAAGGGCGAGACCTTGCCCTTTCTGAGGCCTTGAGCCACGCTGCTGTCACTGGAGTCCCTGGAAACTAAAATGTACTGAAAATGAAGTGATTCCACAGGTGGCAAACCACCTTCTCCCTGAGCGGCAGCCTCCCCCGGCGCCAACAGTGTTTTACTTTCATTTGTGCTGCAGCCCCTGCCTCTGGCGCAGTCCAGTGGGTCAGGCGGCCAGTGCGCGGCTCCTACAGCGCCCTGGGCCAGGCGCGTCCCGCCTCTACTGACCACTGGTTCTGCGACCTTCCAGCGTTCTCTGGGCCTCCGTTTTCCACTTCACTGCGATGGGAGAAAGGGGGTGGTTAACGGATTTTAGGACCTAGTGGTGAAAGACACTCTTTGAAGGTGCTGTTAAGACCTCCCATGGGGACGCAAATACCCTGCTCTCTCCTGCGCCGCCCCCAAGTCTGGTCAGACTCCGCCCAGGACTGAGGGTTCCCCCTGGCTGCGCCTGGCGCACCTGGCGCCCGGCAGAAGGGGACCTGTCCTGGGCTTGCTGGGAGCCTCTGGCGGGGCTGGTCGCTGGAGCCCTGCGGGGGGGGGGGCGGGGGGTGTGTGCACCTGTCGGGGACAGCTGGGGGTTGCAGGGCGCAGTGTAGGTGAGTCCACCTGCAGCTCCCTGGGTCGGTGGGCGCTGGTGAGCCTCCTCTTTCTTTCTCTTTCGTCCTCTTCCTCCGCCCGGACCCTCCCCAACCCCCAATCCCCCAGCTCATCCATCGAGTCTCCGCCCACCCAGGGGGTGCCTGTGAGTCTCACTCCGCCTCCTCTGCAGGAGCCAACCTTCGCCCCATTGGCAGCTGGACTGGCCTGGGAGCTCATAAAGCCCCTTGCCCAAGCCCAGGCTCTCATCGCTGCAGCTGGAGGCGCTCCCTGGGGCTTCCAGCCTGGCTGGCTGCAGTGATGGCCTGGGAGCGGGCTTGTGGGTATCTGCTTTTGGCTCCCAGAAAAGCTTGGAGCAAATGAATCTGGGGTGGATTTGGAGTGGCGGCAGCCTTCTCCTTCCAGAAGCCTCACCCTGCACAGCCTCCATTTTTCCTGCTCTGGCTCCCTGATCCTCCTTCTGTTGGTTCCCGGAAACCTCACTCCTCTCTGATCAGCGATCTCTGCTGCCTGGTCTTTCTGATCTCATCCCACCTCTTCCTCTCTAAGTCTGACCTAGTAACTATTTCCACTCATTTCCAGCCTCCTCCGTGTCACCCCTCCTTTCTCCTTCCTCTCCCCACTCCATTTCATCTGCACGACCTCTCCACTTTCACCCTCACCCCTCCCATCTTCCCTCCTAGCAAGCTTTGACCATGGATTCTGGGCGACCGTGGGCTACCCATCCCACCCCCAGGGGCACCCTCTCTGCCCCCAATGCCACCACGCCCTGGCTGGGCCGGGATGAGGACCTGGCCAAGGTGGAGATCGGAATCCTGGCCACTGTCCTGGTGCTGGCAACAGGGGGCAACCTGACGGTGCTGCTGACGCTGGGCCGGCCGGGCTGTAAGCGCTCCCGCATGCACCTGTTTGTGCTGCACCTTGCCCTGACAGACCTGGGCGTGGCGCTCTTCCAGGTGCTGCCCCAGCTGCTGTGGGACATCACCTACCGCTTCCAGGGCCCTGATATCCTCTGCAGAGCCGTCAAGTACCTGCAGGTGCTCAGCATGTTTGCGTCCACCTACATGCTGCTGGCGATGACGCTGGACCGCTACCTGGCTGTCTGCCACCCCCTGCGCAGCCTCCAGCAGCCCAACCAGTCCACCTACCCCCTCATTGCTGCCCCCTGGCTGCTGGCCGCTGTCCTCAGCCTCCCTCAAGTCTTCATTTTTTCCTTGCGGGAGGTGATCCAGGGCTCGGGGGTACTGGACTGCTGGGCAGACTTCCGCTTCCCTTGGGGACCACGGGCCTACATCACCTGGACCACTGTGGCCATCTTTGTCCTGCCCGTGGCCATGCTCACTGCCTGCTACAGCCTCATCTGCCATGAGATCTGTAAGAACCTAAAAGTCAAGACACAGGCCTGGAGGGTAGAAGGCAGGGGCTGGAGGACATGGGACAGGCCCTCCCCTGCTCCCCCAGCTGCATGGACACAGGGCCTGCCCTCCCGGGTCAGCAGCATCAGCACCATCTCTCGGGCCAAGATCCGCACTGTGAAGATGACCTTCGTCATAGTGCTGGCCTACATCGCCTGCTGGGCGCCCTTCTTCAGTGTCCAGATGTGGTCTGTGTGGGACAAGAACGGCCCTGATGAAGGTAAGTGTGTGGTCTGGGGCGGGAGAGGGGAGGCATGGACAGTGGACAGCAGGGGAGAGCGGGAGGTCAGGCAGGGCCATTGTGCCTCCCAGGGTCATGCAGGTAACCGATGATTGGAAGCAGTTAAGAAGCCATTCCCGTCCAGCCTGCTGATGCCATGTGCTGTCTTTTAAGTGAAATTGTCACATTCTTAAATTTTGGTAATTAATTTCAACATTTAGAAATACCATGTGGCCCTGATGAAATAAAACCATTGGCAGAGTTGGCCAACAGTCACCACTTTGCTACTTTAGCTGTGGAATCAGAGAGTGACCAAGTCCAAAGAGATTTTCCCATGACTGGGCCCAGGATGCGGCCCATAAGCTGTCTCTCAGCACTCTCCCTTCCTGCCCCCAGAAGTGACTTTGACCTCCTTCCAATTAAATAGGCTGGCATGTGGCAAGCCTAAAATTTCAAGTTCAGCCCCTTCATTTTGCTAATGCTGAAGCAGGTGCTTCAAGAGGAAGCATCCTCTGTCCAAGGCCACACAACTGGAGAACCACAAAGTCAAGCACCGAACCGGGGCTGCTGTCTCCTCTCTTTCTTCACCCCCCACCCACCCATAATCCTAATTCTGAAAGGAGGGAGGAGAAGCTTTCCCTCCAAATGATAAAAAAAAAAAAAAGAGAGGTCCTTGCAGTTGGCACATGGGAGACTTTGCTCTCATCTTTTTCCTGGAGCACGGTAGGTTACTAGTCATGGCCAGCTGGCCCGGCTGTCGGAGGTGAGCAGGAAGGCAGGGAGGGGGTTCAGCATCATCTGTTCCTGCTCTCCTAAATGGAATGTGACAACAGGGATGTGTCGACAGGCTGGGGGACTGGGGGTTGGGGGGCTGTGTGCACCCTGCCTCAGTGCTGATGGTGGGTATAACAGGAGCCTGCCCTGGACAGGCCCGTGCAGAGCTTCTTCCTGAGTGGGTCAGTGGCCAGCGGACACAGGCAGCGACTCCTGCCAGCCCTTGGGGTGGTCCACCATCTCTTGTGCTTTTTTTTTCTTTTTTCTTTTATTTTTTAAAGATTGATTTATTTATACAAGAACTGGGTACAGGCCAGAGACATGGGAGGGTGAGAGGATTCACAAGAGACAGAGAGGGGAGCAGAACAGGCAGAAGGACCGAAAAAACTGCTGAGGGGAGCAGAGGGCAAGACAGGAGAGGTCTGCCGCACCATGTGGGAATCTCCCTGGCTGGCCCGGAATCGAATCCGCGCTGCAGAGGCTGTGGACAGCTTCATAGCACTGCGCTCAACCCACTGTGCCACTGGGGAGGCCCTGCTTTTGTTTCTAATCTCATTTTCTGAGACACGTTCAGGCCAAATGCTTTGCTTTTCTGGAGAGATGAAATCCTACAACCTTGTGGTCTCATAGTTTCCCTTCTTAACCACCTTTTGGACAGCAGCCTGGACCGAGGCTGTTTGCAAATTGCCCTTTAAGATATGAGCATTTTACTTCCAACCAGCTCCATCTCATCAAGCACAGAATAGAAGGACAGAGGGCTCCTTGGGGTGCCCCGCACATTCAGTCCTTGAGCTACTTAGGGGGGCCCTTCTTTATTTGTATCTCAGTAACCTGAGACTCAGGTGAAATAACTAGTTCAAAGTGCCACTGCTGGTAAGAGGTGGGGCCAGGACTCGAGTTGAAGTCTTTGTAGGTCACGCGTTACCCAGGTAAGGTTTTACTGCCACAGTCACAGCTTATAGATGGCACTGGGTGTGGGATGGCCATTCACCCCCATCTGCGGATCCCGCCCTCAGCCAGTGCAGTCTGTCCTGCCTGCCTGCTGTGTCCACCATCATCCGTCCCTGTCCCTCAATGCACACCCATCACCTGGGCAGACTGGGTGACCACTTTCCAAGGGGCCCTTCCGTGCAAGGAGCACAGGAACGGTGTCATCACACAGTGTGCTCTTTCAGATAAAAGGAAGCCCTCTGAGGTTCTGTTAGTTGGGCTGAGATTCATTACTTTAAGCGTACTTCCCAATATACCCAGTTCCCTTTACAGCACCACCCTGACCCTCCAGTCCCTGAGCCTCTGGTCAGAGCCTACCAGTCTCTACTCCACCCCTGTGTCCTCTGACAGCTGTTTCCACCAGGACACAGCGGCTGCTGGTGACTGGGCCTCAGTGATCTGCCTTCTGGGCTGAGAAGTGGGGCCTCTGCAGACTGCTCGTGGCTCATCCCAGCACCTGCACTGAGCTGACTTCAAAAAAAGAAGCAAATCAAACAGATTCTCCCAAGCAAGGGGACCTGTGAATCTCCTCAGCTAACCCCCAAAATATATATTGCTGTGGAGCAGATGAGATGAAACTACACCCCAGGACTAAGCAACTGCCCAAGTCTGCACCTGGGCTCCAGGGCCCTTGGTATCATGTTAGTGGGGGTAGGCCAGAGCACAGGTAGAGTGCAGGCTGCTTATCAGAGGCTCGTCCCTCCTCCATCTATATATGCTCTCAGTCACCCTCACGTCTGTGCCCTAGTCTGGTGCCTCCAACTGCAGGTGCCTCCAGCTTCCCCCACTGCCACAATTGTCTCCTCTCAAATGTTCTGACCCCATGTTTCCCTTTTCTGGGGTCATGAGCAGGCACATTTGCGAGCCCACCCACAGGAGTTGTGCAGAGGAAGAAGCTTTCAGTGTGCTGAAACAGGTGTAGGTGTGGATTAGCTGCCCAAGAGAGGAAAGGTTGAGGTCTGTGCCATAGCCCCAGCTGCCTCCAGTTCTGACACTGTGTTCAATGAGGCCACGCTGAGCTGGGCGAGGTAACTGCACCAGCCACACTGTGCCCTTGAGCATGGTGCATCCGGCGGAGCCAGGCACCACCCCAGAGAGTGGACTTTCCCCTGGTCCTTTGAAGGAATATTACGTCTGGAAGAAACTTTATCAGAATCCTTACACGCTCTCATTTTCACTGCATAAGAAATTTGTTTTCCTGTGCACCATGGTGCCTTTCCTGGGTCTAATCTCTGAGCACAGGACAAGTTTTAGTTTGGAACAGGATGCTTGGGCGCCCTCAGCCTCAGGCTGCCCCTGTGCTGCAGGCGGAGATGATGCCGTGAAGTGGACAGGCTCTACCAAGGCCCTAACTGGTCCCTGGCACCAGCCTGGCACAGCTGGTGCTTACATACTCAATGGCTGAAGGACAGAATGAGTAGCCTGCCCCTGAGGGGTGGTGCTGGGCAGAATGCCCGGGCACCACCTGGCATGGAAATGGGGATGGAGGTGGAGGGGCCTAAAGTTGGCCCAGAATCACATTATCTCCTTGTATGTTTCATAGAAACTGCCACATCCTAGCCTAGGCCATTGGGAGAGTCAAGGTCTGGGTTTTGAAGCAAAGTGTCTGAAATTTGGGCAGGTCCTGTCCCTGGTTAGGTTTATGCCTCTAAATTCGGCTTGGAGGAAACCTCAGTTGTTCTCTTCGTCCATGGTAGAGAAACGATGAGTGAGGTGAGCCCCAGGTTCAAGCTCCCACTGTACCCCTCTCTCATGGTAGACTCCCAAGTGAGTGTTCTCTTTCCGGGGCTTCTCTGTTCTTTTCCTCCTCCTGGAGTCTCTCCTGGGTCCGTTGGAGCTCTGTGACTCTGAGACTTTTCTCTCCACAGATTCAACAGATGTGGCCTTCACCATCTCCATGCTTTTGGGCAACCTTAGCAGCTGCTGCAACCCCTGGATCTACATGAGCTTCAACAGCCACCTGCGGCCCCGCCCCCTGCGCCACCTTCCCTGCTGCCGGAGTGCAGGGCACGGGATGCGCAGGCAGCTCTCCAATGGCAGCCTCTCCAGCCGGGGCACCACGCTGCTGACCCGCTCCAGCGGCCTGCCCACCTTCAGCCTCAGCCCCAGCCCTGGCGGGAGGCCCCAACCCAAGGGGGACTGGAAAGACCTGGAGCCTGTGGGCAGGGAAGCCCCCCCTGAAACCCACACCTTTTAGGGAGCACCACTCGAAGTCATGTGCTAATGGCAGGGCTCCTGGGAGGTCTCTGCTCATCTCAGGCACTGTATGAAAACTGAGGGGCGAGGGTGAGACTAAGGGGGCCCCAGTTTGAGGCAGAAAGAGGAGGCCAAAGTGGCTGCCCTGATCCTGGTGGAGCAGCTGCCTCTCAGACTGAGGCTGCCCTCACTGGACCCAACCTCACATGACGGAGTCAAAGGGAATCAAAGCGCCTGCTTTTCCCATCCTGCTATATGTCCAGGGTGTCCGAGAACACACCTGTCTGATAGAGGTGGCCCCAAATCTGGGGCGGTTGGACAGTCCATGAACAGGCAGTGGGAAGCAGAGGTGGTCGGGGGTGCTGCTTGCCCTGCCCAGCTGGGCACCCTCCTACCCCAGCAGAAGGGAAAGGAAAGCCTCTGGGGATTCTGCCTGGTTCCTGGTTTCTTCTGTGTTAGTAGAGGGGGGATTATTTGATGACGAAAAGTGAATGGGTCTGGGCATTGCCCACTATGCCCTCTGTCTTGTAAGGGAGGTGGAGGGCTTAGTGCGGGCCTGGCGGCCAGGATGAGTGCTTGCTGCCAATGCCGGTCTCTCTCCGCCCCACAAGTCCCCTTTATAGACTGGGGCGCAGTGCATGTTCTGTGACTTACTCGGCGAGAGTGAGGAGGAAGAAGGGAGGGAAGGAGGAGGAGATGAAACTGGTCACAATAGAATTAAGAGTGGGAGGAAGCCTCATAGGCTGCAGCAGTGGCTTGTTCTTCCTCCTCCAGGCAGGAACCCACTGCTCCTTCCTCTGAGGCTGCTTGGAAGAGATGCCCTTTGAGAGACTGTGATGTGACGTGGCTCTGGATTCCCAGCAGCTCCTCAGCACCCCATACAGATCTCCTGCCTGCTCACATGTCGTGACATGTGCTGCTCACATGTGATCAGGGCCGGACCCTGGGACTTGAGACTGCTCTGCCCCAGGGGTCTGTGCGACCTTGGGCCAGTCGCCTGCCCTGCCTGGGCCTGAGTGTCCTCCCCTGCAGAGCAGGATGATCTCTCAAGTCCTCCCCAGCCGAAGCCTTTCACGGCTGCTCCACTGGAAATGGCATTACAACAGAGGGACACAGGGCGTTCTGACTCATGGGCGCTAGAGAAATTGTTGGATTTTCATGACAATGACGTTTATGCCTTCTGACCCATTTCTGGGACGGTGGGTCCCACCATGGCAGTTTGGACCTCTTTCCCCTCAATTCTGTGATGCTGAAGTGGGGAGAGACAGCTGGGAGGGTACAATCTGGGGCTTGCTCGTACCCTCACTGACTCCAGGGGGTTTTCCTCATGGAGCGGCTCCCTACCATATGGTGGATAGAGCATCAGCTGAAAGGCCTGGAGAGCTGTGTCTCGGTTCTGCCAGTGTCAGTCATATGCCGGTGAATCCTTGCTATCTCGATTGTCACTGTCAATAGGATGGTGGACATAAAAGTGGTTTGTAAGCCCAGGCTCTCTGTATGAACATGAGGGCTTGCTGGGTGCATTTAGGCTCCTGAGAGCAGCTTGAGGTGCTGGATGGCTCTGCTCTGTCTTCCTCTCACGGAGAAGCTTTGAGGAATGACTGTGACTTTGGAGATACTCTTAAAGGCCACTGAGCTCTCAGAAGTGTCCTTAAAAGAAAAGAACCTGAGTGGAGTGTAATGAGCAAGGAAAATACCCCAACCGTTCAGCAAGAGAGCTGGAGGCTGGGACGTGAGCCCCAGTGAGCCCAACACATCAGGTGGACGGGAGGACCCTGGCTCCCGCTTCATGTGCCCTGTTGCCCGGCTCTCTCCTGACATCCTGCCACTCCCGCCTGCCCCCCTGCCCAGATGCAGCTGGACCTGGAAACCTGCCCTGGCAGCCAGGCTGTTAAAGTTGCTTCTTTCCTGCTGATGTCTAACCCTACCCCCCACCCAGGCCACATTTCCTGACCTCATGGTAGATGCTCAGTAAACCTCAGCTCATCAGGATGACTGAGAGGTAGAAGGAACCCCAGGTTTGTTCCCAAAAGACCTAGCTCCTAATCTCATCCCTTTTCTGCCTGTATGAACTTGGGCAAGATCTGCTCTCTCTGAGCAATGTTCTCCACATTTTTTAGAACTAAATAACAGTGCTCACCTCATTGTGGGGAATTTGTGAGACTATAGACACAGAACTAGACACTCTTGATGTTCGAGAAGGGCAACAATGCCTATCCCAGGGTGGGGCTGGTGGGGGGCCAGGGCCTGGGCTAAGACACCACACAGTTCAGAGTGGAAGAGGAGACCTCGGGTCAGGGTTGGCCAGCGCCTCCCCTCGCCTTCTCTAGCACTCCCCTGCCACCCCTCTTACCACCATAATAATTCCAGTTTTGTGTCTCATTAGGGGGATCCAGGTGTCTGGGACTCTCACTGTTCCTCCTATGGACAGGCTGTACTTGACCTTTTCCAGAAAGCTGGTGTTATCGTCTTTAAAAAAAAAACAAAACACCTTTTTTAAAAAAAAGATTTATTTATTTCTGCATACAAGAATTGGGATATAAGCCAGAGTGCAGGGCTGGTGGTGAGAGGATTCACCAGAGACAGAGTGGGGACCAGAACAGGCAGACTGACTGAAACACACTGCTGAGTGTGGGTCTGCTAAACTTAAGTGGCCTGTTTAGCTGCCATTATAGTTACCTGCGGTTCTGCATTCCTAGACAAGATCAGAACTGGCATTCAGAACCGGTCAGTCAGACATAGGAGTCAACCTTACAAGGTGCCTTTCATATCAGTCAAGAGCAGAAAGCTTGATCACTCTGGGAAGGGTATGAATCAAGAGGTATGACTGGGAATGCCCAGGGGGCTGAGGACTGATGTATCACAAGGGACCCCAGAAGCTGACTAGTAGAATGTCTTGTTGATAAGATTAGGACCATGGCCAGAGGTCTGGGGTCTGGTTTTGATTACAATACTTGGTCATCAAGCTGGTAACATGGTTGGCAGACTCATGCTCCCCAGGCCCTAGATGATATTCCTGAGTTTCACTTATCCTTTCTCCTTGTTCTCCTAACCCACGTCACTGATGCTATATGATTATTCTATCAATAAAAATGACAGGATCTTGCTCTTGAGCAGCATCCTGCATTATGTAGCCTGCTGCATGACTCTGGTGTCTTTGTCAATGTGATGTTGCCCGATGCAACAGCTGAGGGGAGCAGTGTGCGAGACAGGAGAGGTCTGCTGCACCATGTGGGCTGCTCTCTGGCCGGCTGGGGATCGAACTTGTGCTGCAGAGGCTGCAGACAGCTTCACAGTGCTGTGCTTAACCCCTTGCACCACCAGGGAGGCCGTGGTGTTATCTTCTGATGAGGCCAGTGGGAGCCCTGGGCATAGGCTGGGGGCCCTGGGAGAATATTCTAGGAGGTCCTGCAGGAACCTGATCTTGTCTGGATCTATAAACAGCAGCTTAGCAGTACCTCTAAGAAGCTCTCACTGATGTTCTGGAACAATTACAAGAGCCTTGAATGGGTTCAGGGCGGTGAGTGCCTGTGGGGAGCAAGAAGGAGGTCCTGTGACCTCTCAGGTCAATCTTATTTCTGACATAAACTCCAGGAGAAATTGAACAATGCCGGGCACTTCTTTAAAATGTTTACAGTATCCTGTGGCATCTGAAACACAGGACTTGATTTCCTTAGAACCCATGTGAGAGCAGGATGGAGGTGGAGGATGGCAAGCGGTGACTTGGTTGACTGTGGCAATTTTTCAGAATGACTTTTTATGTTGTTTGGTTGAACTGGTGACTTTCCAGATGACTGTGTGTCGTGTATGTAAATATGTCTTTTATTTATCAAAGGGCTATAGACTAAGCCCAGGCCACAGCAGCTCACTCCTGGTTCAGGAATCCAGAAGTGTGGCTGAAATGGACCAATAAAACTTCTTAATGACTAGGAAATTTCTTTACTTCCCAGGGGCAATAACAATAAGATATATAAGCTAAAATAAATTTTGATTTCCTTGAGTAGAGCAGGGGGTGAGCACGGGCACCAGGGAATTGAAAGGTGTGAATGACCATCTGTTTCACCCAGTTTAGGAAGTAAAAGGACACCAGTGTGCCCTGGAGACACTAGGGGGCAGTGTGGCGCTGAGAGTGGGTCTGAAGCTGTGGTGGCCACAGGGGCAGGCAGGGAAGGTCACCCAGGATTCCAAAGAGCTTTCTCCTATTGTTCTAGAGGCTTCCCCACACGACACTGCTCTTCTGAGACTCCTGGACACATGCTTCTTCCTAAGTTCATGAGGAGGTATTTGCAAGGGAAGGACAAAAAGCAAGAACTTTTTTACTGCAGGATGAGAAAGTGAGTGTAGAAATTTATTAAAAGATGAGTGTTTGGGGCCTCCCCGGTGGCGCAGCGGTTGAGCGCTGAGTTGCGAAGCTGCCCGCGCCCGAGGAGCCGGTTCGATCCCCGGCTGCTCCCCGGCCACCGGAGGAGGGTCCCACATGGCGCGCAGACCTCTCCTGCAGCCCGCTGCTCCCCTCAGCAGTGTACTTCGGTCCTTCTGCCTGCTCTGCTCCCCGCTCTGGCTCTGGTGAATTCTCTCACCCTCCCGTGCTTCTGACTGTACCCAGTGCATGTATAAAAAAAAAAAACAAAACAAACAAACAAATAAATAAATAAAGCATGCCTCTATTAAAAAAAAAAAAAAAGATGAGTGTTTGAGGGAACTAATAGAACCTCAAAAAACAGATAAGATAAAGTTTTTATCATGTGCTTCATTTAGAGGCTGAGAGTGTGGATTAGATGACTTCTTGAGATCCCCTCTGGGCCCAGAAGTCTGTCTGATCACTGGAGTAAAAAGTTCACTGATCTTGGCATCAAATGTTTCTTCCGTGTGGTCAGTGGGTAGCGCCTCTCTGCGGAAGCTCTATGGTGAGCTTTTATTTTTTACTTTTAAATTATGAATTTTTATTTATAGGACAGAAACTAACCAAAGCTATACAAACCAGGGTAGCAAACAACACTTTACTAAGTCTTTACACAATATTTTATAAAGTTTTTGTAAGGCTTATAAAACTCTTTTAGATCATTTGATTTTTATTATATAAAACATAATTGCTTACATAGAGCTGGAATATCATAATTTATTTCATGTGTGCATGTGCATTTTTTAAATATTTTTTTACATCATTGTTCATTTTTAAACAATATTTGCTTCCCCCCACCCCCTCAGGTGTAGTCCCCATAGAGTTTCCTTCACCAATGCACCCGTGCACCATCACCACAGTCCCCTGTGCTCCTCCCTCCCTCCCTCTGATCCCTCTCCCTCCTCCTCCCCTGCAGGATGTCTCTGATTTATATTTGTTCATTTTTGCTTTGTTGTGTTTTGTACTGTTTTTTTTTTTTTACACTGATCTCTTATTTGGTGTCCCTGTATTCCTACTATAAGTGAAACCATCCAATATTTTTCTTTTTCCTTCTGGCTTACTTCATTGAGCATCATTCCTTCCAGTTCCATCCACATTGCTGTGAATGGCATGAGTTTATCTTTTTTGATTGCTGAATAATATTCCATGGTATATATGTACCACATCTTCTTGATCCAGTCATCTACTTTTGGGTATTTGTGTTGTTTCCAGGTTTTACCTATTGCAAATAGTGCTGCAATAAACATAGGGGTACAGGTGTTCTTTTGAATCAATGTTTTTGTGTCCTTTGGGCCGATCCCTAGGAGTGGAATTGCCGGGTCAAATGGTAGCTCCATTTTTAGTAGACTTAGGAGCCTCCAGACAGCTTTCCTCTGGTGAGCTTTTGGATCCTTGTGCCTTTAGAATCATAATTCAGGGCCTCCCTGGTGGCACAAGTGGTTAAGATGCGATCTATGAAGCAGTCTGCAGCCACTGCAGCACGAGTTCAATCCCCGGGCAGGGAGCTACCCACATGGTGCTGCAGACCTCTCCTGTGTCACCCACTGCTCCCCTCAGCAGTGTATTTCAGTCTATCTGCCTGTTCTGTTCCCCACTCTGTCTCTGGTGAATCCTCTCACCCCCCCACACCTCTGGCCTTTACCCCAGTTCTTATATGCATAAATAAATAAATCTTTAAAAAAAATCATAATTCAGTGAAGGCAACTCTCATTTATTCCAGTCTACTCGGTAGTCCAACTGATCATTGGCACACTGTCAGCCACCCATAGGTTCCCAACACCAAATCTTGTTATAAGATGGTTCTGGAGAGATCTTCATGCCATCCTCATCATAGAAGAGCACAGAGCGAGTGGCACAGGTGTTCCCTGGAGGTGCCCTGGAGGTTCCCATGACAGACATTGTGGGAGAAAGTGGATTCATTGCCCTGGAAACTGAGCTCCTCAAACAGTGATTACTCAAACAGGCAACAGATTTAGGCAGTCGACCCTTTGGGCTCACAGAAGTATCACAAGCTTCTATTTTATTGCTAGCAAGATGGCTAGCAATGACTTCGGGGATCACTCCAAACTGTTCATTGCCCTCAATCACCTTTATTGGCCCAAATGCCTTAGTACTTGCAATCCATCCTCTTTATTTATGAGAGCATCTAAGGGGTCTTTTGTTCTACGGATGGTGAATCCAACCTCTGTAAGTCATTTGATGGAGTTACACTTCCAGCTCTCAAGCAGCACTCTCCCAGAAGACTCCCCTGCATAAGCAGTCAGGGGGGTGTGAGTGTTGCCTTACATGACATATTTATCTGCTATAAAATGTCATGCCTTAGACATCAATCATAGCTCAGTCCAGTAAGACCTCGATTAAGCAGTGGGTGGCTTACGGGTTTCCCTTCTCTACGATAGTAACTGCTGCCCCAGAGCATCACCTCTGAGTCCAGCCACGTCATTTCATGCATTTCAGTCCAGACCAGTCCTGGAATATCGACCGAGCCCCTGCTCCCTTTTCTTCTGCCTCTTCTTCCATCTGTTGATTTTCTGCTCTTCTTTCCAGGTGGAGATCAGAAATCACCCTTTCTGGGACAGTTTTGTTTCTATGAAGTCGACCTGATCCTAACATTCTCACACCCAATCTGCCTGAGCATGTGGGCTCTGCTTTCACTGCTCTGTGTCAATCCCTCATTGTCACGTGCTATTCGGTATGTGTTTTCTGGCTCCTACCTGCCCGGTGTCTAGGTCATGCAGGCCTTGGCCCCACCCACTCACATCCTCAAGTCCTTAGGTGTGCCCCCCCCCCCCCCCCCCCCCCCCGAGCCTGCAGGGCCAGCAGAGCTGCAGCAAGCAGGCGTCTGGCCCGTGTGGCTGTGCTTGCCCCTCTGGGTGCAGGAGCTTCTGAGCAGAGCCCCTGCCTACTCTCCTGGGTACACAGGAACTTGTTGAACTTCTTCAACGCACTCTTGAATTCTTTTTTTTTTTTTTCCTTCTTAGATGAGACCCACAGGTAGTTTCATTTCTGGATGCAAAGAGTATTTATAGTGTTGGTGTTGGTGGTGTTTATTCCTCATTCTGCCTCTCTAGTCAATAGCATTTGTGCTTCCCATAACAAAATGCCATACATAGACAGAGTGGCTTGCAAACAATGAGAAATTTATCTCTTAAAGTTCCTGAGGCTGCAAGTCCAAGGTCAGGGTGCCAGCGTGGGCGGTGAGGGCCTCCTGTGTGGTAGACGTCTCATATCCTCACATGAGGAAAGGGGTTCAGGGAGCCCTCTGGGTCTTTTTTTATTGGAAGCCTGTAGCATTCATGAGGGCTCCATCCTAATCATTTCCCAAAGCCCCCATCTCCTAATATCATCTTGTTTGGAGTTAGGATTTCGGTATATGAACTTAGGGAGATGCAAACATTCAGATCATCACAGGAGCGGGACCACATGACAGCTCCAAGGCAAGGGGCCGCTGGACCAGTCCAGTCCCTGAAACCCAGGTTGAGCTGCTCCTTCAGATGATCTTGAGGAAGAGGAAACTGGGAGGATGAAAGTCACTCACTGCTCTCAGGACCAGGGCGAGACAGGTCCTTTAGAGCCAGGCGGGGGAGCTCTGTTGAGAACACCACTGCTCTGGGCCTTGAATTTGGCTAGCACTTACCCATGGTTTCCAGTTTTTGTTATATTTGTTTAGCTATTGTGAGCAAGCATTTCTTTTCATTGCATATGTTAAATGGATTTTGGAAAAAAAAATATCATATACCTAATTACTGCTAACTGCATGTTATCCATTTTATTTTTTAAAAAAGATTTATTTTATTTATTTATACATTCAAAAGTTGGGATATAGACCAGAGGTTCAGGAGGGTGGGGGTGTGTGAGAGGATTCACCAGAGACATAGTGGGGAGCAGAACAGGCAGATCTACTGAAATACACTGCTGAGGGGAGCAGTAGGGAGACAGGAGAGGTCTGCTGGGTCACCTCTCTGGCCAGGGATCGAACTCATGCTGCAGTGGCTGTGGATACCTTCATAGTGCTGAGACTTAAACCCTTGCACCACAAGGGAGGCCCATGTTACCCATTTTAAAACACTAATTTTCTGAGGTTTTCTAGGACTGGAATATCTGTGAACAATGACAGATTTTATCCTCCTTCCCAACGAAGGAGTTAAAGTTCTTATTTTTGCTAACAGTTTTGTTACACTGATTAGAACTTCTAGAGCAATGTTAGATAATAAATGAGATAATGGGCTTATGGAGATCTGACTTTGTTCTTGATTGAGTAAGATGGCATCTAGGACAGTTACGTATCCTGTAACCTGCTGATTTGAGATAAACTGTTCTTAATCAAGTTAAGCATGTGTTCTTTTATTCCTAAATGGTTTTTTAAAAAATCAAACAAACCAGAAATGAATATTGACTTCTATTGGATTGAATTTGAAAATATTTTCCTTGGAATAACATATTGTGACGTAAGTTAGTATTTACCAGGACTCTATTTGTCATCATTCCCTCATAAGAAACAGCAAATTCAAAGGTTAGTTGATGGTGTGGGATTTCTAATTGGAAATCAGAAATTTTCTAACTTAAAGTTCTGAGGGTAGAACAGGATTTCTCAGGAAGATCCAATCCTGAAGAAGGGACAGCAAGTAGGACTGCTGAGAGGAAGCGAGAAATTGCTGGTTGCCATTTATGTAAAACTTTCAAGGAAGTTTTTTATTTATTGCTAGTAGTTAAAGAGCTATAAAGTCATTTAATCGTAAGATTGCCGCACAGAACTCTACTACAGCTGATTAAAATCTTTAAAAATTTTTCTTCTTTCTTTTTTTTTTTTGTGTGTGGGACCCTCGCCCGGTGGCCAGGGATCGAACTGGCACTGCAGAGGCTGCGGGCAGCCTCGAAACCCAGTGCTCAGCCGCTGCCCACCAGGGGAGGCCAAAATCTTTAAAAATTTTTCTATAGGGAGAGATCTTACCACTTTCGCCACTGATACTATCTATTGTTTTCGTACTTAATCTGGAAATTCTTCCTAACATCTGATCTGAGTCTTTCTTACTGAGAGATAGGCCAACCTTTCCCCATATACTTTATTTTATTTTTAAAAAGATTTATTTATTTATACAAGAACTGGGGTACAGGCCAGAGGTGTGGGGGGTTGAGAGGATTCACCAGAGACAGAGTGGGGAACAGAACAGGCAGACTGACTGAAATACACTGCTGCGGGGAGCAGCAGGTGAAACAGGAGAGGTCTGCTGCCCCATATGGGTATCTCCCTGGCCAGCCAGGGATCGAACCCGCGATGCAGAGGCTGCGGACAACTTCACAGCGCTGTGCTCAACCTGCTGCGCCACTGGGGACACCCATACTTTATTTTAAAAAAGAAAAGACATTATCCTACAAAATAAATGCAAGAATCCATAAAGAACATCCCACTAAAATTCACTTGGCCACCTGAGTGTATTCCACTGTCTCAGAGACATCAGGATTCACAAAAGTCCAGATGTTGGGCTTGCGAATTTGGGGGTTGACATTGACATAATCTTTGGCTTCTTTTATGTTTTCATAGTCCAGTGCAGTTTCATTTTTCAGTCCTCCAGGGTCTGGAAAGACCACTTGTGTATAATTCATATCTTTGTTGGCCTTATAGGAAAAAGCAGAGAAATGTGGGTCAAGACCCCTATCATGTTAGGGAAGGTAGATCCAAGACTGAATTCGCACTCAAAAGGCTCACCCAAGTCTGATGGGGAAGAGCCTGGGGTCCAGTTAGCTGTGTCTGGGAGTAGGGCCAGGACAACTGGCAGAAGTCTCCCATAAGTTTGTTCTTGTCTATAAGGAATGAATGGGCTTAAGGAAGGAAGGATGAGGACATGGAATCCATGTGAGCTCAGGACTCAGAGCAGACTTGGCCCAGTGACGTAAAGGAGACAGGTGCTTTCCCATTAGCACTTTCATTTTACAACCTACCCACTGACCCATTTTGTTGGATGATCAATGCTAATGTGGGCCTGTGAGTGAAAACCTGACCACCTGCTCCTAAGGATGCTGTAATGGCCTAAGAAGATCCTCCCTCCTTGCTCCCATCTCTGTAGCTTGGATGGCTCCCATCTCTGCAGCTGGGTTTTACAGCAGGGACCTCAGACTGCATATGGAGGGCTGGGGTCACTAGGATGACCATTACCTGATGGCTGGGCGGTGAGCTGCCAGAGCTGCTGGAGCTGCTAGAGCTGTCTGAGGATGTGTCGCTGCCATCTGGGGAGAAATAGAAATTGTTCTTCTAAAGATAGTCAGATAGTGCTAGGAGAGAATAGAGAAAATGAAAGAAAGAAAGAGACAAAGACAGAGCCAGCAAACAAAGAGGACTGGGGAAGACAAGTACAAAGCTCCCAATAAGGAAAGCAGGAATAAATCAGGAAAGGGGTAATGGGAAAGAGACCTCCCAAAATAACAGGGAACATATCTAAGAGTGCAGGTGCTGCTGTTTCACCCAGCTCTGTAGAAACGAATAACAAACTCACCAGGCTTGACTGTGCTTGGGAGAGAAAGCAGGGGTGTGCAGAAAATAAGTAGCCTAATGCAGACAGCTCTGGACATAGGTTCTAGTCCAAACCAGCCAATAGTTCGAGGCCTAGCACATCCCTTCTTATGCCCTGGTTTTATCCCTTTTAGAACCAGGGATGACAATCTCTGAGGCCCCTGCCCACCAGAGTCTGGGATTCTGGCCAGGATCTGGTTTAGCTCTGGGGTTAGGGGCTGGGAGGTGCCACTCCCCTCTGCTGACACACCAAATTCTTGTGTGTGGTGGGGTCTGGTTTCTACAGCACTGAGGCCTCATCTTAGTGCCCAGTAAGCCTGAAAGCAAGGTTTTCCAACTGAAAAGACTAAGTTCAAAGGATAGAGCAAATCAATTGACAAAAGTTCATGAAAAAAGTGCCATCTCTGGTGAGAAGTCTTCAGGGGACATTGTCTTGCTGTGGAAGTGGCAATGTCCATTATGCAAAGAATGATCTGTGGGTCTCAAGCCCTGAGGTAGAAAGCAAGGGGATGGAGTTACTATTGTTCACTCTCCAGGGGCAGGTATGGGTTGGAGCCATCACTAAATTCATATTAATTAAAATACTCAGGGCTGCTCACTCAAATTGAAGCCTGAGCAGATCACAGAGGTCCCACCCACCGGCCCAGCAATCCCATCAGGCCCCACGACCCTGCTCCTCAACTGGACCACCTCTGGGGGAGGTACCTACTGTATGCACAAGAATAGTGGGAGCAGAAAACCCACACCCTACAAAGGCCCCAACTATAGCAGAGCAAAGCCAAAATAAGCAACGGCAAGAGAGAAAAAGTACAAATGGACAAGCAGATCTTCAGAGGAACAGTTTACCACAAAGAGAAAACAAAACTCCACAACCAAATTACAGAGACATGGAAAAGCTTCTTTACCTATGACACAGAATTCATAATTGCCATGATAAAGAAAATTAAAGAATTGGAACAATACATAGAAAACTCAGAAAAATAGTTTAGAAATATGCAAGAAACATCATAAGAGTAAATGAACATATGAGAAACACAATCAAGGAACAAAAGATAAAAAAGTAAAAGCAAAACTTTAAATAAATTAATTGGTCTGTAGGATGTAGGAAGATCAACGATGGAGATGAAAAATTTTAGAGAAAGCCAAGTAAGCAGAATCAACCAAATGTAAGAATGAATCAGTGGGCTCAAAGATACAAATGAGGAAATAATCAAAATAGAGAAAGAAAGTTACAAAGAGGAGAAAAATGAAACAATACTGTAAGAATTATCTGACACCACTAGGAAAGAAAATATCGGAATAATAGGCATCCCAGGAGAAAGAAGGGAACTGAAACATTATTTAATAAAGCAATAAAAGAAAACTTCCCAAACTTGAAGAAGGAAATGAACATACAAATATGGGATGCTAAAAGAGCACCAAGTTATCTAAAGAAAAGGAAAACTACAGCAAGATATATAGTAGCAACACTTCTGAAGATCCAAGACAAAAAATAATGAAGCTGATGAGGGGGAATAAACAGATAACCTATAAAGGACACATCAGACTTCTCTGAAGAAACACTACAAGCAAGAGAATGGAGGGCCTCCCTAGTGGCCTAGGGGTTAAGTCTCAGTGTTATCCCTGAGATCCATCTCTGCCCAGGATGCTGACCCACATGGTGCAGCAGACCTCTCCTGTCTCGCACGCTGCTTCCCTTATCTGTGTATTTCAGTAGATCTGCCTGTTCTGCTCCCCACTCCGTCTCTGGTGAATCCTCTTTTATATATATATATATTTTTACATCAGTTTTCATTTTTGTACAATGTATGCATTTTCTTGTTGGTTATATTACCCATACAATTCCTCCTACCCTTATTTTGACGCTAATCCTTCCTTCCCTCCCCCCTTCTGTAGTGTGTCTCTGGTTTATAGTTGCTTGTTGGTTTTGATTTTGATTTTATTATAATTAGTCTTTTTCCTGGTCCCTTATTTAGGTTTTCTAAATTCCTGCTATGAGTGAGACCATCTGGTATTTTTCTTTTTCTTTCTGGCTTATTTCACTGAGCATGATCCCTTCCAGCTCCACCTGTGATGCTACAAATTGCATGAGTTTATCTTTTTGATTGCTGAGTAATATTCCATTGTGTATATGTATCTGGTGAGTCCTCTTAACCCCCGTACTTCTGGCCTACACCCCAGTTCTTCTATGAAAAAAAAAGAAGAAAAAAAGAGAATGGAATGATATTTAAACACTCAGATACATGGCGGAGGCAGGCAGAGGCAGTGGATATCTTGGCCACAATATTATAAAGGCAAGAGCAGGGACAGTCCCCAAGCCCCCTGCAGTCATTCATGCATGACCAAACCCAGAAAAGAACTCACACCTACACTAACCCAAGCGGATCTGCCCTGCATGATGGTGTGAACACCTTTTTGAAATAGGTAGGTGAATGAGGCCTTTACTGAAGCGGGTGTAAGGAATCCTCAGACTAGCAGTTTGGACAGGGGGCGGAGGGAGGGATAGAGGAGCTGTGGCAGGGAGCTCCCTGGGGTCCAGGCAGAGCAGATAAGCTTTATGACAAGTTATCCCCCACCCCATCACTCACGCCTGTAGTGCAGATCAGACACAAGGGCGCTTCTTTCTGCCAGAGTCACTTTCGGCTCCTGGGTAGCTGGTGAGGGATGGTGGTCAGGACTGGGACGGGAGTCCTGGGATCTGACCTCTTTCAATATTCTCTCACTGTGCCTGGCTAGAGGGGACAGGGACAGGTTGAAGGCAAGGGCTTGCTGGGGCAGGCACACCCTATCTCTGAGCACAGCCCTCATCGGGTTCTTCCCAGGAGCTCTCCAAATCTCCACACAGCCCTGCTCAAACCCAGCATGCCTGCCTTCGTTGGAGTAAAGCCAAAGCTCCAGTGAGGCCTGCCTAGGCCTCACTCCACCTCCTCTGCCTCCTTGCTCCTGCTGATTCCTCGGGGCCAGTCACTCAGTCTCTGCTCATGCTGCTTCTGGGCCACTCTCCTGCCCTGGGGCCTGTGAGGTGCAGCTCACGTCCTGCAGGTTTATGCCCAGATGTCAGCAGCATCTCAGGGATGCCGGCTGCCCTCTAGTTCTCATCTTTTGGCCTTGCTTCATTCTCCCCTCCCTGGTGGTTACCATAATCTTACACATGTGAGTTTTACTTCTTCGTCTGGTGCATTGTGCCTCCCACAGAATATAAGTTACACAGGGCAGGGATTTTGCTCTGTTGCGTGTTAATTGAAAGAATGAATGATTAAGGAAATCTAGACTTCCTTCATGAGATCAAGCTTCAAAACACCATCCTGCCCAGTCCCCTGTCTTAGCACAGGTAAAAGGTGTAGTTTTATCCTCCCTCGTAACACAGAGATTTTGTACTTTCCCTGTAAATCAATTAGAGAGTTTAAGCTGATCTCTTACTCTAAACACTCCCTTCTGTAGCAATTCAAGGCCACTTCTTCACATGCAATTCTTGGAGGGGATGAAGAAATTTAACCACGCCAGGTGACATGAGCCCCCTCTCAAGCACTGCAGAGCCTGCTCTCTGGACACAGGTCTGGGCAGTGAAAGGACTCTGGCTTATCATTCTCAACCAGAAATAGCCTGGGCCAAAGAAATAGCCCAGTTAGAGGTTGGCAGGGTGAAGGAGGATCTGGCCAGTAGATCCTTTAGTAGGTTTTCAAGTGACATTGGGGGGCTGCAAGGGGCTTTTCTGCTATAGACTTGGGACTAGTTCCCAGGGGTACAAAGGAGGGGAGGGGTTGCTGAGCTGGTTACCCAGGCGCCGGCTGAACAGGCAATAGAGGGCTGCCAGGAGGCTGGCCTGCAGGAAGAGGGACACAGCCGCGATCACCACGCCATGCCAGGGCTCCAAACAGTTGCTGGGAAAGAAAGCCAGAGTCAGAGGGGACAGCGATGCTAATGCAGGGCAAGCCCATCCTGCCCCAGCCAGAGCAGCTACCAGGGTTCCAGGAGTCTCAGGACAGGCCCTGTGCTTCTCTTGGTAGTGCAGCAGGGAGGGGTGTGCCCCTTGGAAGTCAGAGACACCAACCAGCCTCCTGGAAGCTGCTCTGGCTCTTCTTGGCCACTTACAGTGTCTGCATCCTATTCTCTGGCAGGACAGTTGAGGCTGAGGTGGTGAGTGAGCCCATGCTCCTTGGGGGCAGTAGGGAGAGACTTGGGAGGAACTACCAGGACCTTGTCTCCACGTGCTGCCGTCAGGATGCTCCCAGGACCTGCAGGAGGCAACGCAGCTGGTCAGCACCCAGGACTTTGTGGGCAAACTCAGCTGCTTAGAGGTCATCTGCTTTCCTTACTTTAGATCTCAGTCTTGGAATCTATAAAACAACAGTAACAGAATCACTACTTGACAGCCATGGACACGCATGTGTGGTGCCAGGAACAGCCAAGCCTCTGGCACTCCTGCCATCTCGCCAGATCCCCAACCCTGTGACTTAGTGGTCACTACCCTCCATCTATATGCTTGATGTGGGGTTCAGAGAGCCGAGGCACATGTCTGAGGTGACAAATACTGGTGGCAAGTGATGGGCCTGGAGTTGAGCTTCAAGTCTGCATCTGCCCACTCAGCTGGGGGCACCTGCTGCTTGGCTGGAGAAATGCATGGGGATTCTTTGAAGAAGCCTAGCTTTTACACACATGTGCACGCACGCACACACACACACCCCCACACACACACCCTGCATGACATCATTGGGTTTTATAGTATCTGTGGATACTGTTATACCCGCATGAATGTTTGCTTTAAAAAATCAGCTTATTCCATCCGCATTTTGTGGAATATGGAGTCACCATAAGACTAAGGCAGGATAATTCCAAAGTCTTTGAAATGATATTTACTGAGATGGGATCACTTAACTACCAATGTCCACCAGTAGATTGTAAACTTTCACTGCTGTTAAGGCTTACTTTTCCAGTCAGGGTTTCCAAGTGATAAGGGCAATGTGGAAAGACCTGCAAATGCTATTTGTAGTTCTCACCATGGAGCCTTTTAAGACCAAGACTTGGACCAAGAGTCCAAAGAAAGAGAAAGCAGTGAGGGTCAGGGCTGACCACAGCTCTCCAGGTCTGCGGCGTTGACCAACTGGCGACTTCTAGAAAGGAAATACCACCATCTCCCCCACACCCTTCACATATCAACATGTCAGTCGTCAGAGTGACTGTTCTACGTCAGGTCAAATTTGGAGGCAACACAGGCCAATTTACTCGTCACCTTGCTTAAGTCCCCTCTTTCCTATGTAGTCAGTTCTACACAGTTCTCCCGAAAGAACCTACCTCCATCTACCTTTGCTTTTCACATTAAATGAGCAAAGTACATCTGACATATCAGTCCCAAAGAGTTCTATTCTGTTTGACCTATAAAGATGGAGCCAGGATCCAAACGTGGGTTCTGAATTTGTATGATCCAGCAAGTGAGGTCCGGGAAGCAGGACTGTTAAATAGAACCCCCTTCCCCTCTGCCTCTGAGCCCTCCCTATGTCCCACCCCAGCAGTACCCAAAATGACCGCAAGGTGGCCCTGTGAGTACCAGGGCAGCTGGGGCTCCTGCAGGAGAGCTGCCATCAGTTCATTTTGCTGCTGGTGGGAAGGGGCACAGAAAGGCAGGCAGTGGACTCTGCCACAGAAGCAGGTGAGAAAGGACTCCAGGATATGACCCATCTCTCACACCCCTCCCCGCAGGTTTATAGGCAAATGGATAGAAAAGCCGAGGCCCCCTGATGAGTAGCAAGCTCCAGAAGGAAAATGTAATCGAAAGTACTCATGTACAAAATTAGAATTGCAGAACCAAGATGCTGGAAATAAAACATAAAAAATGACTGAGATAGGCTAGCAGAGGATTTTTCGGAAATTAAAATCATCTTGAAGGATTTGATGATTTGAGAAAAGAATATAGATATTTATTAAAAGCCCTCTCTTATTTTGGATAAACCCTTCTAAGATTTCAGTATAGACACTGATTTTCAAGCAAGTTTCAGGAACAGTTTTGATTTCTGGGGCAGCTGCAAAAGGAAGAATGGACTTTGCAGGAAAACTTTTTGCATCATAAAAGACATGGAAATTTTGAGAAAGGGCTAGAAGCTAGGCTAGTGTGTCTGGAAATCAACAGTGTTGTTCCATTATTAGAGGTACTTTAGTACTGACGACCTCACACTGAATGTCTCACTCTCCTCAACTACAAAGTTTTTCCCTTCTCCATCGAGGGGTGACCGGTATCCTGCCAGGTCTGTGTTCTGGTCCCATGCTCCAAGTTTTCATTTCTAAAGGTTGTTCTATCCTTTCATCTTCTGAAAATTAAATAACTAACAGATACTTATAGTACAATAGAAGAATTAAAAATACAAATAAGTAAAGCATTTTACAAAATCACCCCAAATTTTATTCCCATAAAATTTTCTATACATTTTCATAAATATATGTAGTCTATATATGTGTATAAATATGTGTATACACATATATAAACTTCTAAGGACCTAGGATTAGCCTGATTAGCAAGTTTTCTCTTCACTTGAGATATCATAAACATGTTTTCATGTTAAAAATAACACCTCTGTTAAATAGCCCAAATCTGGGATTCACCAGTCAAATGCAGCACCTAGATGATTATTTCTGCTGATGTGCTTTAAAGATTTGGGATTTCCTAAGATGGACCATGCTTGAGCTTGCAGCCTTGAGGTTTACAGCATTGTTTTATTTTATTTTTAAAGATTTATTTATTCATGCATACAAGAGCTGGGGTGTAGGCCAGAGATGTGGAGGGTGAGAGGATTCACCAGAGACAGAGTGGGGAGCAGAACAGTTGGATCTGCTGAAATACACTGCTGAGGGGAGAAGCAGGTGAGACAAGAGAGGTCTGCTGCGCTATGGGGTCAGCTCCCTGGCTGGGGATCAAACTCATGATGCTGCAGTAGCTGGCAATAGCTTGATAGCGCTGTGTCTTTAACCCCTGTGCCATCAGGGAGGCCCCCAGCATCATTTTAAATTGCTAATTTTCTACTTTATCAATGTTTCTTAGCAGGACTTGACATTTGGAACCAGACAATTCCTAGTTGTCCAGAACTTTCTTGCATACACTGGGCACTTGGCATCCTGGGAGACCACCAATGCAACAGTTCAGTGTAACAATCAAAATGACCCAAACTGACCCCACACATATCTACCCCCTGAGTTGGCACTTTTGCCCCCAGTTGAGAATCTCTGCATTAATTACATGCTCCATTACTGTAAAGCCAGTATCTTAATTTGACTCTTTATACAAAACTCTCTTGCCCACATTTTCTTCCATCATTTTAATGTTCTGAGCATTTACTAGCCAAATAGCACATGGTCCCTGGCTTGGAGAAAGCATAACAATCAAAAGGCCTAACTACAGTCTCCAGTTCTCTTGGCTTCTAGATGTGAATTATGGACCTCCGTGCCCCATTTTCTATACCTGTGAACCAGAAAGAGTGTAGGTGTAGCTCCCAGGTTCTCTTGGGGGCTCCTGAGTTATGCCATTTGTAAAGACCTTTGTACAGTGCTGGGCGTGAGGGATACTCTGCGCAGTAGCTGTTTTCGGCCCTAAAACAGGTCACCACAATGGTAACTAGAGCAGAGCAATTCAAATCAGGCTGGCGTATTTTACCAAACGTAGGCACTTGCTTTGAGTACAGTCTGGAGATAAGATCCAGAACAGGATGAGGTATGAAAACTACGATAGATGTCATTATTTAAGTGGCTAATGGCCCTCAACCACAACGGGCAAGTTGTTCTTTGGTGTCTAATTGCAGATTGCTAATCAGACAGTGGCAGAAACATCTGCTCTCTGCACACACAAATACCAAACAACCGGGAAATGAGCGATTCAGGGTTATTATGTTGTGGAAAGCACCTGAAAGGCATCATCCTGTTCTCTTCATGCGGCTGTTTTCACACCCAGTCCACCCTAATGTAGCACATCCTCCCCCCCCTCCCAAGCCCTGCCTCAGCACTCTCCAGCAGAGTGTTAAGAACTTTTCTTCCGTTTGCTTCCCACCGGGGTGCAAATCTGAGACCTGCAGGACCTGCAGTTGGGGTGGGCTCCATTCTGCCACCTCTGCTGACAACAGAGCCCACTTGGGCCTGTCTCGCAGGGACAGGGGTCCCCAGGGTGAAAGATAAGGGCATCTTTGCCCAGTATTGCTGCTGTGCCTTCTTTGGATAGATTCATTCTTGAAAGTGGTTTAAAACAAGAGGAACTTAAGGTAACATATATAAAAATCACATGGATGGAAGGAAAATGGATCCACATAGTTAAGCTGACCTTACCAATCTTTTAAATATTAAATAACTAAAGTATTTTTAAAGATTCAAAAATTTTTTTTTGCAATTTTCATCATTGACTGTTTTTTTAAATGAATAATTTGAGGCCTAACATGGCTGTGTGGTACAGTGAACAGAAAACAGGACAGGGAGATGGAGCCTGGCGCTGTCACTTAACAGCTGAGAGTCCCCGGGCAGCTGGAGGCCTTTCTAGGCTCGGGTGGATTCAGGGACTCAGCAGAGCATCTCTAAGCCTCCGTCTAGCCGTAAACGTTCTGTTCTTTAAAGAACGGAATTGGGAAAGCAAAGTTGGATGGAAATGGCAGATTTTAAAAGAAAAAATATTTTATTAAAAAATTATTGATTTGGCATTAGCATAAAAGTCTACATTCGTTTTAATTAAGAGGATGGGGCTACCTCTGCGCACGTGTGCACCTCGCCACACCCGCCACCAGCGGTCTGGCGCCTTCACACTCACACTGGTGGCTCCGCTCTCCTCCTGGCCCTCTTCCTCTTCCACAGAACCACAGTTTTCCGTAGAGTCAATTAGAAAAAAAGCTTGTTTCCACTGTATAATATCATTCAGTCCAGACTTTTCTCCTCTAATTTAATACGCAGTTCAGATTAATCAAGAAAAGGAAGCACCTACATGCACCAGACTGGGAGTAGTGCAACCCCAAAGGTAGAGATTAGAATTTTGTGAGATTACTAAGATTTTCTGATGAAATGAAAAAATTTATTCCATACAGCACAGATGACTGAGACCCCAGTCAAAGCAAAATAACAAGAAAGTTTAGGGCACAGCTTGGCATTTGGCTTCTAAAGGAGAGCTTGACCACGGACGCCTGCGCCTCAGCTCGTGGCCTGTTCATCCTCTGTAAGACATTCGCCATAGTAACTAATTTTCAGGATTAGCCGAAAAGAGTAAAAATGACACCTACTTCGAAGGGAGAAATGAGATGAAGTATGGGACGTAGTTGTCACAGATTTTGTAACAAGTCTTCAATAAATGTATCAGTCTTTAGAAATTAAAAGCGTTATCTGAGTTGTCTACTCCAAATCTGTGTCTATATAGTTTTACAAATGAGTTATTTGAAACTTTTAAGGAACAGTAGATTCTTAAGCTCTGTAAGCAGAAACAAAACAAGATGGAAACTCTTCAGGTTCATCTCACTTATGAATATAGAGATAGATGGTTATATAAGGAAGTTACTCCAGGGATAGCCAGGAAAACAATAATTGCACTAATAAAAATTAGTGTTGTGTGTTTACCACGTGCTTTTATCTTTCAGCCCTACCAAAGGTAGATGTTATGATTTCCTAGGTGAGGGCGCTGAGGCCTGGGCAGTCTGGGCAATTTGCTCTGGTTCCCCAGTCAAATTCCAAACTCCAGGGCTCTGACTTAATTCTCTATCAGTCCATGGAATTGCTTTTTATATAATATAAATGTGCAATTTTAAAAATGATGGTCTCAGTAAAATGCCAAAAAACATGAGAAAGTTAAATGTTCATTTCTTTTTTTAAGTTAATAAAATACAAACATGAGGATTGTTTGTTATTCTAATAAAGAATATCCTTTCTATACCTTAATCAATATCTTTCTATACCATAATCAATACCAAGACATTGAATATATATTCAATAGAATGGTAAGCCATTCTAGCAGTTGTTTGAGAATAGGGATATCGGTTGTAAACCATTTTAAAAATCAGTCCTGGAAATTCTAATTCCTGGAAGTTCCCCCAACCTCCAGTTAATAATAACAATAATAATAATAACAATAATAATAATAATAATAATAATGAATATTTATTGTGAGTGCTTTATACGGCCGACACTTTTAAATCTATTCAGTCATTCGATTCTCACAGCCGCCCTGGGAGGCAGATCCTGATATTGTTTCTATTTTGCAGAGGCCCAAATGCGGCACAGAGGAGCTAAGTAACTTGCCCAAGATGCCAAGAAAAATGAATGGGACTTGTGCGCACAGGCAGGCTGGCTCTGGGGCCTGAGCTGCTAACTGACACATGAAAGAGATGGAAGCATAGTTTGGGCCGGGAGAAGTCAAATTCGTCCTTATTTGCAAAAGATGTGATTTTATGCCTAGAATTCCCAAAAGAATCAATTGAAACCTAATGAAATCAATAAGACTGCTCAGGGAAGAGCTGGGGGCATGACCCAGTCTCCAGCTGATCCTTCTGTTACACTAGAAATGGTCCATTAGAAAATACCAGAGGGGTAGGGGACCGGTGCCCATGAGCCTTACTTAGCAGTCCTTATAACAGATATAGCTAACAATAATCTTAATTATAAGGAAGTTTTCTGAAAAATAATAGAAATTTATTGAGAAATCTAAAAGACAAACTAATGGAAAGACACTTCACTTTTGGAAGCTAGAAAACTACGAAAAGTCACTTTGACATAAACGTGCTGATTCAATATGATTCCAATCAGAATATGCAGTGAGCATTTTTTATAACTCAAAATTATTCTAAAATCTATTCAGGGAAAATAGTAATAATGAAAAAGAACTGAAACATGTTTGAAAAGGAATTGTAACACATTTCCTGACAATTTTTAAGGGTTGTGTAGTCTTGAAAAAGATATGCCAATATGTACAGTAAATGCATTACTAAAATGGTTCACAAAGCAGGGAGAGGAAAGGGCTGGTCAAGAAATGCTGCACCAGGTGGTGAACCAGCTGCCTGTGTGGAGGAGAGAGAGGAGTGAGGTCTGCCAAGTATTCCAGAGGGCAAAGAGGGTGAGGGGGTCACCTTTGTTTGGGGTACAGAAGAGATGGTTCCTGGGTCCCTTTGAGCTCCAGTAACCATGACAGGGTCCTCACCCCAGGTGGTTGGGAAGACTCTGGAACATGACCCGAGAACCTTCCTCAACATTCCACCTTGACAACTTTGTAAATTCACCTACCTTGGGCCTGTCACTTTCCCTTCTGAGCCTCAGTTTCCCTCACTGTAGACTGAGGGTGATGGACTAAACAGATCTAGTTCCAACAATTTGTTGTTCTAGAAGTCTGTGAGTCTAAAATGGACATAAAGGCCGAGACTCTGACCAGAAATAGTAACTTTGAGTCTCATCAAATAAACCACATCTCATCACGCTTATTTAGAGCTGCAGGCACTGCCAATTTTTAGAGGAAAAATAAATCATCCAAAATATCTAATTAGTAAGTTTATGAAAACGTTTTTTCAGTAAAGTACTAGTGATGAACACAACTTGGTGATCTTGAGAAAAGCATTTTGGCGAGAAACGTGAAAGTAATTTGACTGCAGCTTAGGTCTGAGACTAAATCAGCACAAGCACAAGGAACTGTAAGCATCCTAGGGAGTGTTCATGAATCCATTTTGCTAGTTCCCACCAAGCTCCATGTGAACTGGAAAGGCCAAACTGTTCTCTCTTTCACAAATTGGCCAGCTAAATTTCAGAGAAACAAAGCACCTTCTACATATTACCCATTTGTGAGCACTTAGGGGCTAGGACACATCTGTTATTTGACAATGCACAATACTGACAATGTGGTGTGCATGTGTGGGGGGGCAGTACTTTGTAACATTTTGGACACATTGTAATGAAAACAATTTGCAAATAATAAACATTGTTTAACCTTTGGGGAGCAACTTATGTCCTCAGTTTCCTCCTCTGTTAATTGAGAAGTCAAATGTGTCTCTCTCAGAACTTGTCAAGAGAGCTAAGTGAGGCCATGGAAACTTCCGGCAATGTTCCTGCCTCTGCTGGGTGTTGGGGCCTGGCAGGCTAGTCTGTCCCATGCTCAGGCAGCTCCATGATTAGTGCATGGTTGTTGCCATCTCTAAATTCTTTATACTGAAACAGGGAACCCCTGACTTTCATTGGCACACAGCCAATCCTACTCAAGACAGTTTTTGGTAGAGTTGCCAAAACTTTCACAAGTTCATACACAAAGCAAGAAGCAGGTCAACCTACCACCAAGTCCTCCTTGAGTGCCTGGTCTACCCTTCTGAGTGCCGAGGCTGCAGAGACCACAGAGCAAAGTTTGCTCCAAGAACACTCTTTTGTGCTAAAGTTCACTTGAAAAGTTTTCTGATACTGACTGTGGTCAAGTCACTTACCTCTGCTGTGTGTCAGTTTCCTACACTATAAGAGAAAGCTATTAATGGCACCTACATCTCTAGGGTTGTTGTAACAATGAAATGAGGTAACTCACATTGAGCTCTTGGGACAGTCGTTAGCACACAGCAAGCTCGCCCTGAGGACAGCCTGCCAGTGCCCACTGTTGTTGACACTGGCCCTCCCTGCCTGGGTGTCTGGTGGCTTTTCTCTAAGACTACACGCATCTTCTGATGACCATTTATAAGGCTTTTAAACTCCCAGACTGGCCCCCTTCTCTCCACACTTGCCAGTCCTTTGCAGCTGAGAACAAATCTTCAGGAAAACACTCCTGAGTGGATCTAGTTCCCAGTCAACTTAAAAAGAATAATTAATGAGGAAACCCTGCACTGGGCACTAAGTGTACGTTGCAATCCTCATAGCAACACTAAGGTAGGTGACTTTCATACCCACCTACATTTCGCAGAGGAAGAAATTGAGGCTTACAAATGTTTACCGAGCCCTTTGGATCCAGTTCTGTGTGGACCCAAAGTCCATGCACCTTCTAGCCGGAGTCCTGACAACCACCACTCTACTGCACACAGATCTGGGTCTCAGGGGCCAGACACCAATGTCCACGAAGTGCAAACTGCTAAGACAGGCTCATTCCAAGCCTATCGCAATGCATTTCTACACCCTGGACCCCAGCATACAAATGGAGAATGCCCTCTGAAACCTCCACATGTTCATCGTCACAAACACACAATCTTCAGACTAATTTAAAGTCCTACCCAGACAATACTTACCCTTGGGACCATGGGTGAGGTCTGATCCTGTTTTAGCGATGTCCTGGTTGATGCATCTCCCCCATACCCCTTAGCCCCTCCTGGAAGCTTTTCTGTCACTGGCGGTCAGTCACAAATGTTTCCTCATTTCCAACAAGGCGGGGGCTTGTGCTCAGAAGATAGTCATCTTGCTTAGTTGAGTAGCGCAGGATTAAGCAACAGATAAGCCCTCCTATCTCCTTTGCCTGCTTGGCCCTGCTCCCCCGTGCACTTTATGCAGATGAAGGAAACTGGTAGTCTCTGTGTGCACACGTTTCAATATCATCTCTGCGTTCATATGTTTCAATATCATCTCTGCGAGCACACGTTTCAATACCATGAGGGCGTGCGGATGGGACATAGCAACTGATGAGGATAGTTTTTCAAGGATAACTTCTTTGTCATTGAACACTGCATTAAACATTAAACATATAAAACCAGTTTTTATGATAATTCCAGGAAAGGAAGGCAGGCTGATTGGGGGGCTTAGGTTAAAACCCCAAAACATAAACTGAAATTAAATCCCAAGAGTGAAGAAGAAAGGGAGGAGAATGAAATGATCCTGATATAAAATAAAGAACTTTATAGATCGCTGTGATGTCACCCACCCCTGCTTGGGACAAATTACCGGTATAGAATACTAATTACCAGTATAGAATACTAGTTACCAGTATACAATTTGACTTCAGAGTCAGGCATATTCAGAATTGAATCCTGTCTCTACTACTTTGTAGCTGGATGACTTAGAAAGTGTGATTTAACATCTCCAATCCTCAGTTTTTTCACCTGAAAAATTGGGTTAATAATTTTTAAAGAATCTCATAAATTTATTTAAAATTAAATAATGGCCAATTAATGTGCTAAGAACTTAACAGAATTTCCTTTCTGATGGTATATATCTACATTTTTACTTTCTAAGTGAAACTTCAAGACGTCCCTTAGACTGAATCCTACTCGTTGTTCTAGAACCCTCATTGCAGAAATGCCTATAGCTGCTATTCTCTTTCCTTTGTGTACTTATGTTATGAGATTTCACTATCATGCAGGATTTTGGAATACATGAGAACACTGAAGCTGCCGAGAGCGATTTCCTACCTCGCTGGACTCTCTACACCCTGCCCGTATCACCTCTAAGTAACTGACTTCACCTGCAGTTAGTCTATGGGAGTCAGGCCTTCCTGGTGGTGCAAGGGGTTGGGCATAGCACTGTGATGCTGTCTACAGCCTCTGCCACGCGAGTTCGATCTCCAGCCAGCCAGGGAGCTACCCACATGGCACAGCAGACCTCTCCCGCTATTCCCCTCAGCGGTGTTTCAGTCTGCCTGTTCTGTTCCCCACTCTGTCTCTGGTGAATCCTCTCACCCCCCACACCTCTGGCCTGTACCCCAGTTTTGTATGCATCAATAAATAAATCTTAAATAAAAAAAAGATTCTTGACTCACTACTTCTGTCACCTTCCTCCATGAACCCACTGTAGATAAAGCAGCAAGCAGAGCTGCATACATTCCTACTGCTCTGGTCCTCTGCATGATTTCTTGGATCAGAACCTTCCAGGATGCCACCCCAAGGCTCACAAGATTGTGCCCCTGTTGAGGATCTTTGTGTGTTTTGGATGCTCCGCGTGCACATGCTTAGGAGGGCAGTGTTGCAATGAGAGTACACACGCCTGACGAGGCCCTTGGTGACCAGGAGCTCCATCATATTCGCTGTCTTTGGACCAAATTTTACTCACGAACAATTATAAGGAGTTCTTGATTAATCGTGCATAACTCTCCTCTAAACAGCAAAGTAAGAATTATTGAGGGCTGTTCTCCCCCTTCTCTGCAGTGGCCAGCACTCTGCCTATCGTCCCTTGTAGGTGTGAACCCACAATTGGGGCATGGATAAATGAGTGAATGAAGTGCCCTGTGATACACAGGCAGGTGTAGGTGCCAAGTCTTACCCAAGATGACATGATGATTTGCTCACAAAGGCACTTAACCTGTTCCCAGCCAGAGGCCCCTGGGAATGGATTTGTGGAATCCAGTGGAATATTCATCACTGAAGTCCAAGGCCGCCTCCCCCTGCCAAGCCCCTAGAGATGGGCATTGCTCTCTGCACGGGGGGCGGGGGGGGGGAATGGGTGATAAATGAAGTCATAACATCTGTACATCGACAGGAAGCTTACTTTTGATAGTTTATCATCTGACGGAGAAGGGGCGCTGATTAGGCTGATAACACACTGTCACTTCCTATCCTACCCCTCCCCCCACCACTTTCCATTGACGGCCTCTTTCCTGGACACCACGCCTCTGACCTTTGTGGAACAGGGTTGCCCAGAGAATACCCTTGCTCTCTGCAGGACAATCAACACACCTCTCCTTTTTTAAGGGAGGAAAATGGTATGTCAACATGATTAGGGACTATTTGAAAGTGGGGAGGCCTACTCACTATCCAGTCACCCCTAATATATTTTTCACATAACACCATCCCTGCATACTTGCAAGGATTTTAGGGCTCCCTCCCACCTCAGGGTGGAAGCACATGTGGGTCCCTCTGCCCCCAAGTTGTTTTTGTGACATTTTTAGAGGCTCCCTGTTACCCTCTTCACTGATATGACCCTAAGTCCCAGCCAGTCTGTGGCTGTCCCATTATTTCCAGTGCAGACAACACTGTCACGGGTAACTCTGCACATACATTTTGTGGCTTACTTTAGGCTATTTCCTTCCAATGAAGCTCCAGGGGGGGTGTCCAGTCAGAGAACAGAGACACGGCACCTGCATTGTGGTTACCTGCTGCTCTCAGGACGAGCTTAGTGTCTCCCTGTATTGCGGTTTCTGTTTTTTTTCACTAATTATATCATGTTTTTCCATGAGTGTTTTATTTTTTCAGGTCTGTTTATTGCTAGTAATAAAAAGCTTTACTGTTAATTGAGCACAGGCATATATGGAGATGCAGGTTTGCA